CATCAGCCCTCAGTTTGTTCTCAGCATTCAAGAGTCTCTCATGGTTTGCCTCCCTCCCTCTCCCCAACTATTTTTCCCTTTCCCCTCCCCCATGGTCCTCTGTTAAGTTTCTCCTGTTCCACTTATGAGGGAAAACATATGGTATCTAGGGACAGAATTTAAAAATGCAAAAAAAAACCCCACTTTTTGTTTTTGTTTGTTTAAATATAACCCATAGCTACGTGGAGAGAAATTTTACTTAAGATATTGTTCTCAGAACATAGGTGAGGGAGCTCTGGGCTTGTTTTAAGAATCTGCCGATTTGAGGATCTAACAAAAGCTGACAGTACCTCCAATAGAGGGCGGTGCAACCTTAGGAAGAAACAATCCCATCACACGAGTTTTGGGTAACTACCTAAGGTAGATTCTTAAGTGTTAACAAATAGAACAGGGACATTGAGAATCTTAGAACTGAATTCTATCTACATCCCATTTTACAGATGAGCAAATTGAGACTCAGAGTCTTGAGTCACTTGCCCAAGTCATAGTCCTAAGCAGCACAACTGTCTTGCAAATAATGATAGCAGCACAGCTATCATTCATTCGAGGCTTACTATATGCCAGGCATAGAATGTACTAAGCACTTTATATGCGTAAGCTCTTTAATCACGCTCTCCCCTCCCGCCTTCCTGTTTCTCAATCTGAAGTTGAGGCTCATAGAAGTCAGTAACGAATGAGATTCTGACTGTGCTCATAGCTAACATGCTATTCTGTCCTGCAATTTTGCTGGGAGACCGATCTTTGAAGAATCTATCACCTAATAGGGGTACAGAGCACAGCCGTCCAAAGAGAAATCTTGGTGCCTGTTGGTAGATGTGCACATGCAAGGATCCAGAGATTCAGTGAAGGAAGAAGATTCCTGGGACAGAGGAAAGCAGAAAGGGAAGAGGCCACTGAAATGTTAGGATGTGTGTGGCCTGTGGAAACGAGTAGGTGAGGAAGGGAAGGCAGAGAGGAAAGAGGAGAGACAGGGAAAATAGGGAAAGGAGCATAAAGTCTTGCTGGGGAAGGCCATGAGTCTAAAATCTTAACTTCTCTCCTTGCTACCCTACGTTAGCCTCTAATGAATCCATCAGCTAGTCTTGTTAGTTCTGCTTCCAGAAGCATCTGTGATCTCTCCACTTCTCTCCATCTGCACTGCCCCCTTCCCCCCGGCTCGAGCCACATCCCTCCTCACCTTGACTCCTCAAACACCTTCTAACTGGTTCCCTACCTCTTTTCTTGTGCTAGCCACAAGTCACTCTCCAGACTACAGCCAGAGTCATCTTTTAAAACATGTCAGACCATGTCACTCTCCTGTGAACATCTTCGAATGGCTTCTGTGCACTGAGAACAGAATCCAAACTCCTCATGAGGTTCTGCTTGAGCTGGCCCTGCCTCCTCCCTGACCACATTTCCTGCCAACCTCTTCCTTGCTCACGTTGCTTTGGCCACACTGGCCTTCTTCTCTCCCCAAGAACACTCAGGAAGCTTGTTGCCATCTCATGGCCTTTGTTCCTTCTGGCCAGAACACTTTTCTTCCAGGTCTCCATGTGGCCATCCCCTTCTTCTCCACTGTCCCTGACTGGAGTGGGGTCTGAAAGAGAACCGGAAATGGGATCCCCCGGACTGAGGTGGTGGCTTGTCCTGATTCTGCAGTTATGGTTTGCGAGCAACATCATGTGACTCAGTATTTAAAGGGTTAACAATCAGGTCAGAGGACTTCAGAGTTTAAAAGACTTAGCCCTGGATGGGACCCAGTCCACATCTTTTCATTTTACAGATAAGGAAAGCATGAGATTAGAGCCGGGAAGTGACTTGCCCAAGGCCAGAAGGCCAAAAGGGCTTCCTCTGTCTTCTGGAAACACTTCATCTCCCTGAGTTAGGTTTTTTCCCCTAGAAAACCCAAAGTCTTCTGCACAAGGTCTAATAAATGTTGAGAAAGGGCTTCGCGAACTGGGAAATGAGGGGCTCAGGTGGTACTTTATTATTATCTGGCCATAACTGCCAGCTTGGCTTTAGCTGGGGCCTAGATTGATTCTTTAAATTCTTTTTAATGTTTTATTTATTTCTGAGAGAGAAAGAGAGACAGTGTGAGCAGGGGAGGGTCAGAGAGAGAGGGAGACACAGAATCTGAAACAGGCTCCAGGCTCTGAGCTGGCAGTCAGCACAGAGCCCGACGTGGGACTGGAACCCATGAACCGTGAGATCATGACCTGAGCTGAAGTCGGATGCTTAACCGACTGAGCCACCTAGGCGCTCCCCAGATGGATTCTTTAAAAAAAAACTTTTATTGAGTGCCTACTAATGCAGGTCCTGGTCTCTGTGCTGGAGACACTGCAGGCAACAAAGGCCCTATAATTCCGAAGCCTCACAGCAGGTTCATTGAGGGAAATGCCTGTGAGCGCCCACGCTCACATGCGTTCTGTGGTGCTAAGAGCTATGGAGAAAAACAAAGCAGGTAAGGGCAATGGGGATTTGCCAGAGGTGGGAGAAGGGCTGGAATTGTAAATGGGGCTGGGGTGGGATGTCAAAGAGGGCCTCTCAGAGAAGGTGACCCAGATTCTGGACTATGCTGAGCACAAGGAAGGGAGACCAAGAAATGTATTTGTTTTGGGGCAACAGATTCTCTGATTTTGCTCAGGGCTGCACTGATGACCGTCCGACTGCCTTGGAGCACAGACTGCAGAAGTGAAACTTTGTCATCAGCACCCCTTAGACCATCAGATGCAACCTTCTGCTTCCTTCTCATAGATGGAGCCCAGGCAAATGACTTCAGCAGTTAGCGGCAATAATTTGCATAAAGGCTGATCCTCAAATCTTCTTTGAGTGGTTTGGGAAG